GACCTACAGTAGAACAAAATGCCACGTCTCGCAGGATCACAATGCTGCAGAAATAAACATAATCATAAATATAAACACAACATTGGATGTAAGAGCAATTTTTAAACCTATACACTCACTGGCCACTTTATTAGGTACACCTTACTAGTCCCGGATTGGCCTTCAGAAACGAGCTACTGGAAATATTCCTAAGAGATTTTGCTCCATATTGACATGACAGCATCACACAGTTGCTGCAGATTTGTTAAATATCCATATGAATCATAAAGGAATGCACCTAGAGAGCATACTCAGGAGACCTGAGGTGTTTAAACTAAGCTTAGCAGGTACAGAAGGGCCCAAAGTGTGCCAAATAATGTCTCCAATACTATTTAAACTATCAGCCAGAAGCCATTTGAGGATCGAATCCATGCTTTCATGTAGTTTGTGGCAAATTGTGAACGAACCACACCGATGCTGCAGTGAAACGTGAGACTCATCAGACAGGAAAAAATGTAAACTCTTGACATATGTAAATATGTCATTTAATTCTGCTAGAGAATGCCTTTTTGTACACTATAAATGCTTCTAAAATGGAAAGCGTACAGTTCAGGCACATTCATTTAAATTTCATGAGGACGTTTTAGTGTTTTCAGACTTTTAAAGCTATGAATTGTTCAGTAGGAGGAAGACCTTCTTTAAAAAAAAAAAACCATGAAGACAGAAATGTGCTTGAAACACGTTTGTATTATTGTATTTTATGTTAAGACGGGCTAATCCACAGGGTCAATGAATAAATATGTTAAAGCTAGCTCTACTTAGCCTATTTAAGTGTCAATATTTGCTACTGGTAGGTTATTTAATGCGTCTTTTTCACCATCAAGCACTCAAAATCAAATTGTTTCCTGCATCAAACGTTTTATAGGCCCTACAGTATATTTATTAATGGTTAGCATGAATAACGCGAGTTCACGTTTCCACTGTTAGCATGTATTTGTGTTAGCGCGCCCTCTGGTGGTTATACACAAGAACTTCAATACACAGTCATATGCCCATAATGTGATTTATCCGACAATATATAAGACCTGTAATAAGATACGAAGCCATGTATGAAGATTGAAGCGAGGAAAAAGTCATTACATACCCATCGAAAGGTTACATTTGATTGTGAAGCTGCTGATTGCCAGCCGCGCGACTCAATTACTGGAGTTTTCTTGTTTGGTGAGTGGGAAAGATTCAATTAAAAACTTCAAAGCAGCTCTGCTGAATGGAAGATTGATGCACAGATCTGCTGATAGGCTTGTGTGTGTGTCAACACAGACTTCATTAAGGCTGTTTTAATGAGCATTTGTTTTGATGTCTGGAGAGTCTGCAGGGACGCAAGACGAGTAGCTACTACTTCTTAATATGCAAATGAGCTATCAGGCGGTTAAAACGTCCAGCTACACACTTTAGTAGTTTCTGACAGGAATATAATGTTTAAACTCTAAAACAACATGTCATTTGTCAGGGAGTATGATTAATTTCAGATCGTTAAAGTTGGTTTGTATGGTAACATTACAGTTTAAATGCTGAAATGCAGATAGTTTTTTGTTAAAGTTGTGTTTTTATATGAATAAATACTAAGCAAGGAGTGCAAAAAATATGTTGCATATTATTTTTGTCCTAAAAACACGTATATTTGCAGTGAGAGCTGTCGGGACGGATTCCGCGGGAAACTACCATATTTTGGTTTGTTTGCTAACACTTCACGTCGCGTTTGTTAGCATTTCTTAATGAATTTACATTGGCTAAGTGCAGTATATATTTAAGGCATTTTTTTAGCATTTGTTATTAGTTAGTGAAATTGTTGTCATTTATTAGTGAATGCAATTGATTGATTGGAAAGGTCGGCAATTTATTGGAAATATGGCTAAGACATTTCAGAGATTAAAATAGAATTATTATTTTATTTTTGTAAAAGTTATGCTTCTAAAGAAATAAATAAATAAGCGAGACTGCTTTTTTAATAAGTGTTATACTTCAAATGCGTGGATTTATAGTGAGATCTGTCGAAGTTAGCTAATGCATTAAGTAATTTATTAATAATAATAAATGATAGCCTTTCGTCGCTTGTTCAAGTCAATGCATTGTGCCTTAGCTACTGCTAACATACAACGTATTATTGTATTAATATGTTTATTTACACTTTATTAGGTACACCTGTTCAACTGCTTATTAATGCTAATTTCTAATCAGCCAATCACATGGCAGCAACTCAATGCATTTAGGCATCTATGGTCAAGACGATCTGCTGCAGTTCGAACTGAGCATCAGAATGGGGAAGAAAGGGGATATAAGTGACTTTGAATGTGGCATGGTTAGTGTCAGATGGGCTGGTCTGAGTATTTCAGAAACTGCTGATGTAGTGGGATTTTTTTTTGCACAACCATCACTAGGGTTTATGGAGAATAGTCCGAAAAGAGAAAATATCCAGTCAGGGGCACAACTGCTCATACTGAGGGGTATGCGGGTTCAAGTTTTGTGCCTCCGCACACCATAGAATTATACTGTTATACGTACTATACAGAATAGAAGTATTCGATTTCGGACGTATTCCAGGTGTGGCCGTGCATTACTGTTACCCTGCCTGGATAAAACCACCTCGTCTGCATTTATGTTAAATAAGCCTAGTGACTTGGTAGTGATAAAGAATAACTAATGAAATGGCGGCCCCGTCGCTCCCAAAAACATTAGTAGTTGATTAAAAGTATGGTAATAATAGTGTGGGTTAAGCTTACTAATCTCTTATTATCCAATTTGTCATGGCAGTTTTCACTTTAAGGCATTTTTTGTTCTTATTTTTTCATTTATTTTTTTCTATTTTGCGCTCCACGTCTCTTCCCTCTTCTTTCCATGTTGAGCAATGCAACAATATCCAGGTGCAACGGATCAATCAAATGGTCAAAGGAGGGGGAGGGAGGTATCATTATTTATTTAATAAAATACAATTTTATACTCGTATAAAATGCAAAAAAAACATTTTTAACGAAACATAATTATTTATTTTTATTATTTAAAACTTTTATTAAGGATCATTTCAAAAGTAGTTTTGGCACAATGGCGCCCCCTCATGTGTGACGCCCCATGCAGCGCGTATACTGCATACCCTCTTTTTGCGCCCCTGTATCCAGTGAGCGGCAGTTCTGAGGGAGCAAATGCCTTGTTGATGTCAGAGGAGAATGGCCAGACTGGTTCCAGCTGATAGAAAGGCAACAGTAACTCAAAAAAGCAGCAGCTTAGAGCATCTCTGAACGCACAACACGTCCAACCTTGAGGCAGATGGGCTACAGCAGCAGAAGACCACAACGGGTGGCACTCCTGCAGCTAAGAACAGGAAACTGAGGCTACAATTCACACAGGCTCACCAAAACTGGACAATAGAAGATTGGAGAAATGTCTCAATTTCTGCTGCCACATTCGGATGGTCGGGTCAGAATTTGGCACAAACAACGTGAAAGTATGGATCCATCCTGCCTTGTATCAACAGTTCAGGCTGCTGGTGGTGTAATGGTGTGGGGGATATTTATTGGCACACTTTGGGCTCATTAGAACCAATTGAGCATCGTTTCAACACCACAGCCTACCTGAGTATTGTTGCTGACCATGTCCATCCCTTTATGACCACAGTGTACTCATCTTCTGATGGCTACTTCCAAGTGGATAACGCACCATGTCATAAAGCGTGAATCATCTCAGACTGGTTTCTTGAACATGACAATGAGTTCACCGTACCCAAATGGCCTCCACAGTCACCCGATCTCAATCCAATAGAGCACCTCTGGGATGTGGTGCAACAGGAGCATCATGGATGTGCAGCCGACAAATCTGGAGCAACTGCGTGATACTATCACATCAATATGGACCAAAATCTCTGAGGAATATTTCCAGGTCCTTGTTGAATCTACACCACGAAGGATTAAGGCAGTTCTGAAGGCTAAATGGAGTCGTCGATAAGTGTATATGTACAAAGTATATAGTATGTAAATGAGAAACACAATCTTAAAGTGTAATAAAAAGAGAAAAAACAAGGATGCTAATGTTTAGGGTAGCGAGTTTAACATTTTATTTATAATATGATACAAGAATAGTTTGTGCAAGAAATGGATGGGAACGTGGACCTGTACAATATTAACAAAACTAAACAAAAAATTGTATTTGTAATTCAATCCAATGGCAAACACACAAAGCACAACACTCAGTTGCTCAGTTTGGCCATGATTGCGTCAAAGGATACATCAAGATCTATATATATTTTTATACACAACATTTCAGCTTGTATACATTTATTGGTTGTATAAGGTTATAGATGAATATAAAGTGCAAAAACAAGAACACTTACAGTGAAGGCATGGCCCTGAAGTGCTGTATGTGACAATATGCGTGTCCTTGTATTTGTGTGCATGCGTGTGAGACTCCTATAATATGGCCGTATGGATAGACTATAACACATGCACACAAGTACGCAGACGCACACACTGAATATGGCCTAGGCTGGACTGGTGTCGTATCAAGTTCAACCACTTTCCAGCACACATCGACGAACTCAACAATTTTCGTCTGTTTGCAATACATCTGAGTCTGTGCAATAAGTTGAGTTATACAAATATAATTAATATGGACAGCTGAAGAAAACAAAAACAAAACATGCTAACGTCTAAATTTCCCCTTTTTACATTTTAAAAATAGACATTATTTGTATTTATATATATATCGCTCCTTCGGCCTCTGTAAAATAGCACCACAGGGTTGCACCTTTCAAGCCTAGAAATATAAAATTACCTGATAGAAGAGCTGAGCGTTGTCTTGCTTTGGAAGAGTAAGGCGTTTTTGTCGTTTTCGAAAAGGATAAGAAAATACATAAGCATTGTTAGTCGACGAGATTACATTTTCTTTTTTAATATCGCATATAATCATACCATGATTTGCCTTTCATTCGTATATTATCTTCTGATGAAGACGTTTTATTGTATTTATTATTCTTTTTTTGTTTTTGTTTTTCCTAAAGCAAGTGCGTGTAGCATCACAGTTGCGGTTTATCATTCTTTTAAGAGAATGTGTGTCGTGTCCGCCTCCCGCCGTCCAGTTCATGTCTCCGTGATCATCCTCAGGCTAGTTTTGCTGTGGGCCCTGAGGAAATGGAGAGGAATGTGTTTTAATGATTCATTTTAATCTGTTCATAACATGTGCATGAGCCAGCGAACATAACAACAGTACTTTAAACAATGGAAGTTTGAAGGCCACATATGAAATAATAAAGTTTCCTGACTTCGTATTTCACAATTTAATTTTTTTTTCTTGTAATTTTAACATTTTAGAATTCGATGTAAACTTGAAATTCTGAAAAGTCTAAATTGTCAAATATATAAACATGCCAACTAGAAAGTTTTGATTTTAATTGTTTTTTCGAAAAGACAAAATTAAGTTTTTTTTTAAATACCTAATTAAAAAATGTTAACTCTATTTCCAAGAAAAAATGGGTATAAAAAAATAAATAAAATTTGAAGTCAGAATTCCAAGATGTATACTCAGAATTTTTTTAATCTGAATTTTAATATAATAGATATAATCTATAATAATACATACAGTTGAAGTCAATTATTAGCCCCCCCCCCCCCCCCCCCCCCCCCTTTGAATTTTCTTTCTTTTTTAATATTTCCGAAATTATGTTTAACAGAGCAAGAAAATGTTCACAGTATGTCTGATAATATTTTTTCTTCTGGAGAAAGTCTTATTTGTTTTAATTGGGCTAGAATAAAAGCAGTTTAATTTTTTAAAAGCTATTTTTATGGCAAAATTATTAGCCCCTTTAAGCTATATTTTTATTTGATAGTCTACAGAACAAACCATCATTATACAATAAGTTGCCTAATTACCCTAACCTGCCTAGTTACCCTAATTAACCTAGTTAAGCCTTTAAATGTCACTTTAAGCTGTACAAAAGTGTCTTGAAGAATATCTAGTCAAATATTATTTACTGTCATCATGGCAAAGATAAAATAAATCAGTTTTTAGAGACGAGTCATTAAAACTATTACGATTAGAAATGTGTTGAACAAAATCTGCTCTCTGTTAAACAGAAATTTGGGGAAAAAATAAACAAAGGGGCTAATAATTCTGACTTCAACTCTATATGCAACTCCACCAGTCGCTACTCACCCAACCCGCTCTGACCTGTGATCGAACCTGCAATTCTGTCTATGGGAGTCGGTTGCTCTAACAAGGAGGCTAAAGACCAGGGCCTCTAGCTTCTGTCGCTTAAGCATCTTTAGAGGTCAGAGGGTCAGTGGAGTGAGGTGAAATGTAAAGAATCGCCGGTTCGATCCCAGCTCATACTGGGTTGGAAGCAGTAGGACCAGTGGGTTACATAGATATAATCTAAACAAATAAATAGTAATGTAAAATAAATAAATAAATAAAATGTAAATAGTCAGAATTCAAATATTTATTGGCAAAATTCCATGAAGTAAACTTAAAATGAAAAAAGAAAACAAATCTGAATTAGACATGTAAACTCAAAAATGTTAAAAATCGAAGTTCAAGACGTAAACCCTAAATGTAAATTCAAGATGTTTACTCAAAAAATAAAAAATAAAATGAGTTAGAACTTTAGATTGTGAACCCAGATCTTTTAAAAAGATGTTAAATCAGAATAAAAAAAAATCAGAATTCCAAGATGTAAACACAAGATGTAAAAAAAAATGCTAACCGAGTTTGTCCTCTTGCGTTTCCAGCAGTCCGGGTTAAGGCGCTTCTGCTCCTCGGCCAGAGCTTTCGCTTCCATGGTGTACATCCTCCTCTCCTCGTTCTTCATCTTCTTCCATTTATCGCCCAGAATCACGCTGATGGCTCTGAGTGAATAACACGCACAAATCTCATTTGAAGAGAAAAGACTGGAAAAAATGTCACTTTTTAAAGGTTTCACCCAAAAATGACAATTCTGTCATCATTTACTCACTCTCCACTTTTTACATATCTTTCATGCCGAACAACAAAAGAAGATATTTTGAAGAAATATTCAGAGTCCATGACTTCCTTAGTATTTATTGTTTCCTTATTAAATCGAGTAATCAAAGTTCAGTAATCAGAATAAAATGTTTGGGGGTGTACTGTCCCTTTAAGAAATACTTTAGAAAATATGTGACTCAAATGTTTATTTATTTAAATTTTAAAAGCTTACATTCTTCAAAATATCTGCTTTTGTGTTCAACAGAATAAAGAAACTCAAAAAGGTTTGGAATCACATGAGGGTAAGTAAGTTGACAGCATTTCATTGTTTTGGGGTGTACTGTCTCTTTAAGAAATACTCTAGAAAATATAGAACTCATTTTTTTTTCTGTAATATTCAAAGGCAAGTCAAAGGCTAACATTCTTTAAAATATCTTCTTTCGTGTTCAACAGAATAAAGAAACTCACGAAGGTTTGGAATCACGTGAGGGTAAGTTGACAATTTAAATTTTTTGGGTGTACTGTCCCTTTAAGAAAAACTTGTTGTTTTGATGTTTTTTTTTTCCATAATATTTTTAAACATTTTTCAAAATATCTTCCTTCGTGTTCAACAGAAAAAAGAAACTCACGAAGATTGGAATCACATGAGGGTAAGTAAATTGAGAGAATTAAAATGTTGGGGTGTACTGTCTCTTTAAGGAATACTCTAGAAAATATGGGATTCCTCCACTCACCTGTTGTCTTTCCCGGGGTACATCTGTGTGTACTCCACCCTGTACTTCTTGGCAAAAAGCATGAAGGCGTTCATTGGCCGCTTGCACTTTGTGGGCGTGGCTCCAGAGCTCCCTGAGGCGTGGCTGCGCTGTGATTTGCTGCTGGAGGAGTGATGCGTGAAGCCGAGCGCCTCCAGTTTGTCACAGTCGGGACTGACGGCGCCCCCGCTGGACTGAGAGGCGCGGCGCTGGCGGGCCATGCTGCTCAAAACATACACGGCGGACGAGTCCAGAGGCGTGAAGTCGTAACTGTGTGTGTGAGTAGACGATTAATAAAACACTCTTGAGTTTAAGCAAATCAAAAAGGGGTAACACTTTAAAACAATGGTCCAATACTTAATGTATTTACAAACATGAACAAACAATTAGTAATATTTACTGTATTAATACTATTACAGTTAGTAATTTACTACTGTATTAATCTTCGGTGATCTTATTTAAGTTAAATAGCGGATGTTCATGTTACCTCACTGTGCATTAACTAATGTTTACAGGCACAGCTTTGGACTTTAATAATGCTTTAGGAGATGTTGAACTATGATTAATAAATGCTTTAAAAGATAATTCATACTTGATGTTAGTTACCAATGGACCATTATTCTAAAGTGTTACCCAAGAGATGCACAAATGTACCCAAAAAATCATATCAAATGGTTTTTTAAAGCTATTTATCTCGGAAAAAAAGAAGGCCATCCTGACACACACATACACATTAGATGAATTAAAACAGGCTCCTTGTGAATATGTACCCCCGTATACATTTCTGGAGAGTGCAAATTATGTAGCCAGAGCTATTTATGGCTGCATTTCGTCTTAAAAACGAACGCTACAGGGCAGTATGATGCCACCACGGGCTTCTGTTCCCTTTTGCGGTACCACCTGACCGCTTACCTCTGTGTGGGCGGTTTTTCCGCCGTTACCAATTTGCCCAGTGGCTCGCCGTGTAGGTCAGCGGAGTTGACCGCGATGACAAGATTTGAGTTTGGTGAAGAACAGTTCCAGAAAGCAGATCAAACAAAAACCAAAAAAATAAAAATAAACAAGTAAATAACAGGATGAGAACGTGGTAAGATCTGAAATCGTGGTAAAAATTTTTTTTGAGTTGCCTTTGAAAACACTGTTGATTGGGTTTAGGGAAAGCGGTGACCGGGTCAATCGATGCTTTTGAAAACACTAGCGTTTAGAGAAGGTGGTGGGTGTGTTGGATAAGTTGGCTCCGTCAGTCAGTCAGTCGAACGCGGTCTCTGGTGGATTTACGTGAGAACAGCAGGTGTGAAGAGAAACTACCGAAAGAGAGCTACCTCTGGTGGATTCGCGAAAACAAAAACTGCAAAAAAATGTAGCTCCTGGGACATATTTGGCACTCTCCAGAAATGTATACGAGAGTATGTTTCCACAGTAAGCCTGGGTTGATACTAATACTCTGAAAACAAATGCATCTGTTTGTGCAGTTAAAACTCAATATTTAAGAAAACAGTGGTAAAAATTATTCAAAATAAATGAATGAAGTTTGAGAAAGTCAGAATGACAAGTCAGGATGTAAACTCATAAATTATATTTAAAAAAATCTAAATTCAAGACGTAAATGCAAAATAAAATATGAATTCAAAGCTGCATTTTTCACTCCATTCATACGCATATGAATACAGAAAGGATTTCAAGTTTCTATCAAATACAATAAAACGGGTTATAGATGGCAAAAATGCATCCAAAAAGTCAAATCAAACAAAACAAAAAAACATTTTGCTTAAATCATATTTTGAAAATGACAATTAACCTGGAAATCAGCACACATACAAAAAATCTTTCGTGTGAAAAAAAATGCTAATTAAATAAAAATAATTTAATATCTTAAAAGAATTTTTTATTGCCTTTAATTTTTAATTTTATGTTTTGTTTTTATTTAATTAATCGTAATAAGAATATTTATCAAATTATGAGGGGGAAACATTAAGAAATTATATTAAGTTATGAAAATAATGTACAAGTAAAAACATTAATTATTTAAAAAGTAGGGTTTAAATGTATGGTAAATATGACCTGGTTTTTAAATGAACACTGGGAGAAAAAACTATTACAGTTTTTATCATCCTATTTTAATTTATTTTTATTTCTGTTTACTGTTTTAATATTCAGCCATTTCAAAATATTTTTATAAAACATGTTGACCACATTTTATTTTAATGCACTATTATAAAGCTTTAACTATTTCTTATGCCTCAAACTTTCTCCTTATTAATAGTAATTATAGTAGCATTTGGGTTTGATTAAGGATGTAGATTAAGATCAAGCAGAATGTGTGCTGCATAACTACTAATAAACAGCCAATATCTTAATAATTGACAGGTAATAAGCCACTAGTTAATAGTGATAATTGGTTCTTAAACTAAAGAGTTAGTAACATTTTTATTATTTTGCTAACAATAACAGACAAGATGTAAAATGAATCTCTGATGTCCCTCGAGTGTGTGTGAAGTTTCAGCAGTTTTCAAACTCTCTGAAACTGACACTTTTAGGCTTTGATCCTAGTTGTGCATTTTAGTGACTGTTGCTTTAAATTTAAATGAGATTGTGCTATTTTCAAAAGAGGGTGGAGCTACAAATGCCTATGAGTCAGCATAGTGGCAGATTTAAAAACAAGATTAACTTTCTATGCTAATGAGGGAGAGATGGTCACTAGTGGGCGGGGCTTTCCCCCTCTGATGACATGTACAAATGTCAATCAAAGAACATTTGTGATTATAAAAAATACAGTTAATCATTTTTTACCATTAGAGGCTGGCTATATTCACACACTGCTGCTACATAACTGTTTAAACAACTCATAAAAGTAATTTTTGCATAATAGCTCCCCGTTTTATTTTATTTGGATTATTTTGCTAACAATAACAGCAGCTTTACCTCTTGAAAGTATCAAAAACAACAGAGTCGTCACAGTTGATGGCGTCGCGGTGTCCTGGAGGCAAACACAAGTCTCCAACCTGCATGTCGTAACAGGGAATCCCATGCCGAACAACGGTGAGGCTCGGATAGAAAGAAGACCAGCCTAACACACACACACACACACACACATTAGATGATTACTCTGAAAACACATGCATCTTTAAACAATACAGAATAAACACAAACTCCTCCATTTACCTTTATTTTTGACAAAAAAGGGATGGTCCAAACTGCACTCTGCGGTCAGAAGTCCTGCCTCAGGTGAACCGGGGTCAAAGGTTAACTTCAGGACAGACTGACCAAATGAGACGCTCTCCTCAAAGATGACCAGCTTTAGACCATCAGAGCCGTAGCTCTGCAGGATAGACAAACTTGAATCACTAACTAAGCTGCTTATAGGTGAATTCATTGATAGGCAAGTAATATAGGTTTGTGGATTGTCCTTCAATGTAAACAATCTGCAAAGTTGTTCATCAAAAAAAGTATATGATCATTAAAAATACTGTCTCTCAAAAGAGCGAGTCGACTCTAAAATCGCCTTGATTCAGTATAGCTTTGAATCTTTTGTAAGCATCAACATGATCAAAGTAAAATATTTGCATAATCCCCGCCTCCCACAAAATACAAACAAACTAATTGGCCGTTTCATTTCTGAAAAGGAAAACAGACTTGTGCGGCTGACCTATCAGAGCAGGGTTGACCTATGGAAAGGGGAGGGGTTTATAGCCCTTAAAGAGATAGTTCACCCAAAAAATTACCATTTATTCAGTATTTACTCTCCCTCAAGTGGTTTTAAAACGTTGAGATTTTTATTCTGTTGAAAACAAATGCAAATATTTTGAAGAAGGCTGAAACCATTGACTTCCATAATATTTCTTTTCATATTATGGAAGTCAATGGTTACAGGTTTTCAACTTTTTTCAAAATATCTTCATTTGTTTTCAATGGAAGAAAAAAATCTGAAAGTTTTGAAAGTATTTAAGGGTAAGTAAATCATAACAGAACTTTAATTCCCTTTAAGCCCTGAATTGAATCAAACGAACCATATCGAGATAAGTGCAAATAATGATTCTAATACTAAACTCATATTTTGAGAAAAGTTTTCTAATATAAGATGCATTTAAACCAGTTGTAGGGGACTCCAACATATTATTAGGACACTTTAAAATACTTCATGATCTGCTTTTTAAAGGAAGAGCTATGCATACCTTCATTGGGTTGGACTGTGCTTCCCCTTCATCATCAGAGTCTTCATCAGACTCCAGCACATCATCCGCCTCCTGCCACTCCACATTCGGGCCTTTGTGGAAGCGCAGACGTGTTCCTGGAGGAAAATGGTGATTAAATGAATATTAAAGTGCGAAAGCGTCTTTCCATCACAGGATACAAATGAACCATAATTGAGGATTTTTATCCCACAGATCTGACTTTTTCGTTAGACCGGCAATTTGATTTAGCAAAGTAGGGTTTTTTAAGATAGTTGCAACTTTTTAATTGTCAAAATTGATTTATTCTTATTTGACACTCTTCGCTTTTCAGAATACTTTTTTCTCACAACTCTTGACTTTTTCCTTGGACTTCACAAATTTTGTCTTTTCTTTCTTGGAGTTCTGAGGTTAGATCTCACAATCCTGACTATTTCCTTGGAATTCTGAGTTGACCGTGGAATTCTGGTTTACAATATGGAATTCTGTCTTTTTCCCTTGGAATTCTGAGTTTACATCTTGAAAATCTGGATTTGTCCTTTGAATTCTGGCTTTTTTTTCCTGGAATACTGGTTTACATCTTGGAATTCTGGCTTTTTCCTATGTAACTTTGGTTTACATTCTGGCTTTTTCCCATGTAACTTTGGTTTACATTCTGGCTTTTTCCCATAGAACTTTGGTTTACATCTGGTTTACATTCTGGCTTTTTCCCATGGAACTTTGGTTTACATTCTGGCTTTTTCCCATGGAACTTTGGTTTACATCTGGTTTACATTCTGGCTTTTTCCCATGGAACTTTGGTTTACATTCTGGCTTTTCCCATGGAACTTTGGTTTACATTCTGGCTTTTTCCCATGGAACTTTGGTTTACATCTGGTTTACATTCTGGCTTTTTCCCATGGAACTTTGGTTTACATCTGGTTTACATTCTGGCTTTTCCTCCTGGAACTTTGGTTTACATCTTGGAATTCTGGCATTTCCCTTTGGATTTATGTCTTGCCCCCATGGAAATCTAAGTTTACGTCTTGGAATTCTGAGATGACATTTTGAATTTCTGCTTTTATTCTTCGGAATACTGAGCTAACATCTTGGTATTTTGAGTTTACATCTTGGAATTCTGGCTTTTCCCCTTGGAACTTTGGTTTACATATTACAATTTTGGCTTTTCAATTGGAGTTTTGGTTTACATCCTGGAATTCTGGCTTCTTTTTCTCGGACATCTAAGTTTACATCTTGGATTTCGTTTTTTTTTTTCTTTGGAATTATAAGTTCGCATTTTGAAATTCTGGTTTTAATCTTTGGAATACTGAGTTTACATGTTGGAATTCTGGCTTACATATTGGGATTCTGGTTTACATCTTGGAATTCTGGCTTTTCCCTTTGGATATCTGAGTTTACATCTTGGAATTCTGGCATTTCCTTGGAATTCAGAGTTTACATATAGGAATTCTTAGATTGTAAAATTCTGGCTTTATACTTTGGAACACTGAGTTTACATCTTAGGATTCTGGTTTACATCATGGAATTTTGAGTTTACATCTTGGAATTCTGGCTTTTCCCCCTTTGAATTCTGGTCTACATCTTGAAATGCTGGCTTTTTCCCCTTGAAATTCTGGTATCCATATAAGAATTCTGGCTTATTTCCTTGAAATTCTGGTTTACATTTTGGAATTCTGACTTTTTCCCTTGGAATTCTAGTTTGCATCTTGGAATGCTGGCTTTTCCCCCTTGGAATTCTGATTTTACATCTTGGAAGTCTTGCTTTATCCGATACAATTGAGTTTACATTTCGGAATTCTACTTTACATCTTGAAATTCTGGCTTATTTACTTGAATTGCTGGCTTTTGTCCTTGGAATTCTGGTTTTATCCCTTGGAATTCTACGTTTACATCTTAGAATCGAGTTTACATTTTGAAATTCTGTCTTTTTGCCTTGTAACTAAATTTAAAAGTGTATTGTATCTTTTTCCACACAATAAATAATAGTAATTTCATTTATGAAAAAAACTTATAATAATTTTCCTTACAGTTATAAATACATATCTAACAATTAAAAAAATTTATGATTAAAAAGTCCCAATTACCTTTCTGCTTTTTGATTGTGTTGGAAAAAGGCACAAACAATTATGTTTAACCTGAACTTTGGTTGGAATAAACCTTCAGCTCATGTAAGTGAAAACAGACATGTTGTAGGCAGAGAGTGTGATGAGCAGAATTTGCTCTGAGGTCTCGCTGACCCGCCTGTGACCCACAGACACGCCTGTTTTCCCTTTCAGTCGTGCTCATCTGCATTCACAACAGCAGTAGGAGCTGCTCAATACACTTTTTCAAGTCATTCAGAAAAACATTATCCAACACTATCCACACTTCTGTGATCCTGTATATGTGCGAGTCATTACCTTTAAGGAAACAGTGCCAGGCAGTCGAGGGCCAGGAATGAGACCATCCCAGATCATCATCATCAGACAGAGAGGACATACAGAAAACACCCGACTCCGACTCACTGCTGGCCTGTAAAACACCCACAAAACATCTATATTATATCTTATTTGCTCTTCAACTATCAGCTAGAATCCATCATTACCAGTAAATAACATTACAGAGCCATGTGGCTGCTAATTTTATTAGGAAGCGCCACATAATGAATGCTTTCAGTGGAACTGTACAAACGATGGCTTCGTATAGATGCAGTTTTACATAGAGAGGTGCTGTTATCGTTAAATAAAATGAAAATTTGTTTTTGTAAACTAAAATAGGCTGAAATCAATTCTGGTGCATCCTTGTGGACATTTTTTGTGGTCCTTGTGGTCATAATTTCATATATTTAAATATTTCTTTACCTTTCATAACTCTATTGTACGGAACCCCGGAAGGAACGTAGAGGAGGAGAAAAAAATTGGCTGGGTGAAAAAAAAAATAATGGATGAAAGAAAAAAATGGGTGGGAGGAAAATATATATTTCTAAGTTTTTGCGTTCTCTCACAAAGTTTTGCGTTCCCTCGCAAAGATGTTTTGCGTTCCCTCGCAAAGTTTTGCGTTTTCTCGCAAAGATGTTTTGCATTCTCTCGCAAAGTTTTGCGTTCCCTCGCAAAGATGTTTTGCGTTCTCTCGCAAAACTGTTTCTCCACAAACACTTCCTGTTCACTTCACTCACGTAAACCCTCCCGTTTTTGCTGAAATTCTCCCATATTTTACCATTCTATCCTCTTTACATTACTGTGCGCTGATCGTCGCCTTTCACTTTGCAACCTCTGAACCAGTGAATGCATGTTTAATCGCTGACTGACGGACGCGCTTCGTACAATAAACTGATCCCAGATCCGCGTCTGTACGCGCCATTTAAAGGGACACTTCTGTTATCAAACAAGTGAGCAGCAAATGAATCTCATGTTTTGTTTAGTTTGATAACAGAGGTGTCTCTGTAAGAATGCACAGATCAATAATGAAAGCAGTCCATTACTTTAGAAACTGTTTGTGCTCATTTAAGAGAAAATAAGCTGTTTAAAATAAAACATGCAGGACGGAGATGTTTCATATTATTCAGTGTATTTGTCTGTTTAAACATACACCCGCTCCTCTGTAAATGGCGTGTACAGACGCTGATCTGGGATCAGTTTATTGTATGGAGCGCGTCTGTCAGTCAGCGCTTATACATGCATTCACTGGTTCAGAGGTTGCATATGCACAGTAAAGAAAGTGGGTAGAATGGTAAAATACGGGAGAATTTCAGCAAAAACGGGAGGGTTTACATGAGTGCAGGGAACAGGAAGTGTTTCTGGAGAAACAGTTTTGCGAGAGAACGCAAAACATCTTTGCGAGGGAACGCAAAACATCTTTGCGAGGGAACGCAAAACATCTTTGCGAGATAACGCAAAACTTTGCGAGGGAACGCAAAACATCTTTGCGAGGGAACGCAAAACATTTTGCGAGGGAACGCAAAACTTTGCGAGGGAACGCAAAACATCTTTGCGAGGGAACGCAAAACTTTGCGAGGGAACGCAAAACATCTTTGCGAGGGAACGCAAAACTTTGCGAGAGAACGCAAAAACTTAGAAATATATATTTTCCTCCCACCCATTTTTTTCTTTCACCCATTTTTTTTTTTTTCACCCAGCCAATTTTTTTCTCCTCCTCTACGTCCCTTCTGGCGTTCCGTACTATTGTACAATGTGTATAAAAAAATCTCTCAGGAAGTTCAAAACAAAAAGGTTCCCATTTAAACCCATTGAATTCTCAATTTTTCATTCAAATTATTGTCATTCATAAAGTTAGAAATTCGGGCTTTCTTTGTTAACTGGCTTTTGGTTTACTTAGCAAAATATTGACTATTTCAGAAGAATTACATTAATATTTGGCTGATTTGATTTGGCATGTGGGTCAAATAAAATAAAATATCAGAAAAATGTACTTTACAGACATAAAATTTGCAGCAATAAAATATTACGCACACACACACACACATATTTATATATATATATATATATATATATATATATATATATATG